TTTTGCCTCTGACAAATGCCCCAAAACCTGCCTAAGAATCAATTATTTTATTTGATGTGAAACCAAAAAAACCCCAAAACAAATGAATAAACGTAATTAAATAGAAACAGAGTCATAGATACAGAGAACAAATAGGTGGTTGCCAGAGGGGAGGGGGCTTTGGAGAGGAGATGAATAGGTGAGGGAGATTACGAGGTGCAAATTTTCAGTTACAAAATAAATGAGTCACAGGTATGAAATGTACAGAGTGGGGAATATAGTCAATAATTATGTAATATCTTTGTAGGGTGACAGATGACTAGACTTATGGCGATTATTTTGAAATGTATAGAAATATTGAATCATTATGTTGTGTACTAAGAACTATCAGAGTGTTGAGGTCAATTATACTTCAAAAAATAAACAGACTCGGGGCTTCCCTGGTGACGCAGTGGTTGAGGGTCCGCCTGCCGATGCAGGTGGACGCGGGTTCGTGCCCCGGTCCGGGAAGATCCCACATGCCGCAGAGCGGCTGGGCCCGTGAGCCATGGCCACTGAGCCTGTGCATCCGGAGCCTGTGCTCCGCAACGAGAGGGGCCACAGCAGTGAGAGGCCCGCGTACAGGAAAAAAAATTTAAAAATAAAATAAAAAAATAAACTCATAGAAAAAAGAGATCAGATTTGTGGCTACCAGAGGCACGGGGTGGAGGGATGGGGACTTGGATGAAAACAGTCAAAAGGTACAAACTTCCAGTTATAAGATAAGTAAGGATTAGGGATGTAATGTACAGCATGATAAAGATACTGAACATTGCTGTACATTATATATGAGAGTTGTTAAGAGAGTAAATCCTAGAGTCCTCATCACAAGGAAAGAAACTTTTTTCTATTATGTTGCATCTATATGAGAGGATGGATGTTCACTAAACCTATTATGGTCATCATTTCATGATGTATATAAGTCAAATCGTTATGCTGTACGCCTTAAATGTATCCAGTGCTGTATGTCAATTATAATTCAATACAATTGGAAGGAAGAAAAAAAGCATCAACTCTTCTATTTGTCAATATCAAGAGATTGCCTCAACAGCCCTCAGAGCATCCTGGATGCCTTTTATAACTCCCTATCCATCTGACGTGTATCCAGACCTTTTGGGAAATGACCTTACTTTCCATTACCATCTTATCACCACTGCTACCAAGCTTTAAGTAATGGGAAGAATTCTGCAATGTCTTGGAAGGAATACTTTTAGTTCTGCTCTGGTTTTGTCACTAATTAGCTGCATGTCTAATCTCTGTCATCTGCAAAATGGGGGTGCCAACATTTTTCTCACAGTTATGCAAGGTCGAACGAGATCATATATGTGGACGTCCTTTAAAATTACTGCATTCTGAAATCTGGTGAACAGAAAAGCCTCTCTTCCCCTTGGTATATTTACCAATCTTGGGCAGCTTTCAAAAACCACACTTCAGAAGAAAGGGTGTCTTTTTTGTTGTTGTTTTGTTTTTGTTTTTTTTCTTTAGCGGTACGCGGGCCTCCCGCTGCCGTGGCCTCTCCCGTTGCGGAGCACAGGCTCCGGACGCGCAGGCTCAGAGGCCATGGCTCACGGGTCCAGCCGCTCCACGGCACGTGGGATCTTCCCGGAGCGGGGCACGAACCCGCGTCCCCGACATCGGCAGGCGGACTCTCAACCACTGCGCCACCAGGGAAGCCAAGCCCCCGAGAGGGTGTCTTTTGAGGTGCATTTGATTGCTTCCTACATTCACCACACGATCACTGAGATGATTTCTGTTCTCCAAAAATCTACAAGACATGGACAACAAAGTGACTGTTACATTTGACCAGCACCCGGTTTCCGGTAAGAATGTGAACTCATTGCTTCAAAAGTCAGTGTCCCCTTGACTTTGCCTTCCGGCAAGAACTATTTCCTTTGCAGGCGCCTACTCAGGGAAAACTTATTTTGATGTTTTCAAGACACAGCAAGATTTAACTTGAAACTGTGAGTTTCTTTCAAAGTCACTTACCACAGACAAGCACCTTTTTTATGGTTGTTGATAAGTAGTAATCATTTACATCCGGCCCTCGGTATCCACGGGTTCTACGTTGGACCAGCGAGTGGTTGGTTGAATCCATGGATACGGAACCAGTGGACACCGGGAGCGGGAGGGGCAGCTGTACTATGCCATTTTATATAATGGACTAGAATATCTGCAGGTTTGGGTATCTGTGGGGAAGGAGGGAGGGAAGGGCGCTTCCCTCCTCCACTGCCACCCCCATACTGAGGGACTACTGTGTTTGCAGTTTCTTCTTTTTAACTTTGTGCTTTCCCCTACTTTGCACACTATTAAAACTGAGTTTGTCTGTTACTTGGCTCAGGCTTAAATTATGAAGTGGGAGTGGGGTGGGCATTAGGACAGTACCTAATAGATATTTAGTGCCCACTTTGTGCTCAATTTACCCACATCACCTTGTTTCTATAGACAGCTCACAGCAATCTGAAAAAGTTCAGTGTTCTATATTTGAGACGAAGGCACTGAGGCAATTTGTCCAAGACCATAGAATCAGAACTGGACCCAACCTCCCTGATCACAGACCCCCAACATTTTGTTTTTGATTTTAGGTTTTGGTTTTGTCTGGGTATAAGGGGGAAAAGGGGGGGGTGAATAAAAAACTATTTGAGCAAGCATTTGGCATTATGTGTTTAATTCTCTTAAACCGGAGGTCAGCTTCTACTTTCTGTATGTGAAAATGAATTTGTCAGTGGATCATTTTCCTAGATTCTTAAGGCATTACAGAGCAAGTCTCTAGCTAAAGGCATTCCATAAAGCAGACAGCCTTAGGGGAGGAGTGGGGCATAAATTACATGAATGAGTTAGTACAAAGCTGCTAATAAAACCTACAACACAGGTAAAGGCAGAGGGTATAATTTTCTGACAAAGCTATTTAGTGCCAACTACCAAGAACTAAAAATATTAAAAAGTAAATATTTTTTAATTAAATTGCAAAACGAGAGATTTACCTAAAGAGGAAAACAAAAGTATTTCCAAGCCTGAGATTTATTAGTATAAATAATCACAAAGAAAGGATTTCTTTTTGATTTTAGAGTATGTTTTCCTTGGACAGTGGAAAGAAAAGAATTGCATTGTGCACTTGTTAAACTTCGCTTGTGATTACAGTTCATAAGATACAATTCTTATAATGTATTCAATCTTTTTCATTTCATAACTTTTTTGCTTATTTTTAATGTGTGATTATTGTATTGTTTTGCTACTTTCATAGCAAAGTTTTTTTTTTTTCTTTTGTTACTTTCCTAGTCTCTAAAGAGTAAAAGGAATTCCTCTTTGAGAAGTCTTTACATGAGAAAGGAAAAAAATTAGCTCTGAAATTAATTAGATTTCTCAGACTCACAGATACAGACAACTTTATATTCCTGGTTTCTTACAAAAACCATTAATAGTTTAAATGATTTAAGAACATAAAATAAAATGAAACTTCCAGGATTTTTGGTTAACAAAAAAAGTACAGAAAATATAATATGTTTGGAGAGGAAGGTGGAAGAGAATGTCTATGGAAAGTTAGGCTAGCACTTGATTAAAGCGGAAATTATTTCTAAAATATCATCAAGCAGAATTTCTGCATTAACAGAAAACGGAGCACCGTTTATATTCTTTCTTTTTTTTTTTTTTTTTTTTTTTTGTTT